GGCAAAAGCATGCAGCTATTGTTGTGGGTCACTTGTAGTTATTGAATACCTAACATATACTGTATAAAGCCCATATAAGTATTACTTGATTTTTATTTTTTTTAAATACTATAGTTTATTGAAATTTTATAGAGTTAGAAACATCAATGAGAGAGAAACATCAATCAGTTGTGCCCACCGGGTATGTGCCCACAACCAAGGTACATGCCCTTGACCAGAATCAAACTCAGGATCCTTAAGTCTGCAGGCTGATGCTCAAACCACTGAGTCAAACTGGTTAGGGCTACACTTGATTTTTAGAACAATTCTGTGAGATAGGGAGTAGTATTGCTGATTGCTAATGAGTTAGCTGATTGCTCATTACATTATATTGTGAGATAATATAACTCATTTAAACTTAAAAAAAAACTATAATTTAGATAATATGGCAGGAGAAAGAACTTCAGTTTTAATTAATTCTAATCCTTTGAAATGAGAATATATTTGTTAATTACTTGCATAGTTAAAATTAATTTAAAACTAGGTATCCATTGTAATTTTTTCTTAGGATGGGATAGTATTTTTATAAATATTTTGACTCTGACAAATAACGATATATTATCTGATCAGAGACATACTAGCTTCAAATTTTGTACATTTGAAGTAACTGAGGGATTTCTTTCACTTGATTGTTTGATTTTGCTTTGGGATGATTTAAATATTAAAAATTAGACTCTGGAGCAGCTATAATTCATATATAGCATATCATTTGTATTGCTATGGTGTGGATCAAAATATACAGTAGGTGAATTTTATCACAATCTTAAAATTGGTTGAGTTGTTGCCATGGTGAATCAGGTGTCCACTCAACGGGTATGTGCCTTGATTATGTTATACATTCCATTCACCTAAATTATCAGATTTATTAAGCAGATAAAGTTATGATGCACAAAGCAAGTATGCTCCAGAAAAAATAATCAATAAAAAGTACTCAAACTTTATATGACTTAAATAAAACATTTTGAATATTATAAAAGACTATATTTATATGTGGGGCGAATAGGGTTTAGAAAGTTCTTTTAATATACTTAGTTTATAGAATGATTGTCAGATATACAAAATGGAATTTACCATGAGATATATCAACTGCAACTCAGAATCTTGACAGGTTGTTCTGGGCATGGCCCTCTGAATCTCTAGATTTCCAATGGTCAACGTAGAGCAATAAAATAAAATTCTCTTGGACCCATGAATCTCTGTACTATTAAGTACAGTCCATTTCCATTATAGATAATGCACTGGAGACTGAGAAAAGTACCTATCACACAGCAACTCAGAAACATAGCCCTATCTATTTAATGCCTGGCTAATATATCTTACACATCAATTATATTTCATATGGCAACGTCTTTTCCAAAGCAGTTTACTCAACGCTTCATTCATTGTCATCTGACAGTTATATCTTCTTTTATACTTTTAATGAGGTGACTATATATATCAGCTAAAAAAAGAATCAAAAAGAAGCAACATACTATAAAGACATTTATAGCTTTCTTTAAGTCTAAATGATTTTTTCCCTTCTAAATACCCACATCTTTTAAACTGATCGCAGATGTACCCTTTGCCTGATTATATTAATAAAATAGCGACTGAAAATAGTCTGTGTAAGTATCAATTTCATTGATTTTACTAGTAACTCCTTTATCTTGGTACTATTTTATTTTAAAGCCATCTTTTGTTATATATTTAACATTTTAGGGGCATATAATCAAAATAGGTATCCAAATTCTTAGTGCATTTGACCTAGACAAAAAGCTTATGATGTTGGGTTCTCTGCTAGTAAGAAGCAATCTTTTCATATTACAGTTTTTGTTTTCATTGACTTCTAAAATTTAAGTCAGAAGTCTTGTAATAATGATGTTAATGTGTGGGGGGAAAAACTTCATGGCACCAATCAAAAAACAAATTCTGATTATAGACTATGGTTATCCTGACAGGTTATTATAAAATATCATTCTGTGTTCATAAATAATACAGACTTTTCATTCATAAAATGCCAGAGAGATTCATAAGTTTCTGTCTAGTTTTCCTTTGCCTCTCCCTGGAGTCTTTTTAGAAAGTAAGAATTGCTATCATTAATTTTTTTAAACTATTGAGAAATAAATCCATTGCCTTGAAGTTGCAAACAACCTCCCATGATCTGCCCCCAACCACTCTTCCCAGCCTTCTCTCTGCCTCACAAACCTCCGCCCCAGAACACTATTGGAGCCTGTTCTTCCTGGGACATAACCCACCCAGTCCCAGGTTTTTGCCTTCATTCATGCTGCCTGAGAGGTTTTCCTTCCTCATGCTCTTCTCTGCCGGTCTGTGCACCCAGGATTAGCTGCTCACATTTATTCAGTGCTTACTCCATGCTGTGCTTTTTACTAAAAGCCTTATTTCATTTGTGCCTTCTCACAACGCGGTTTTACAATGTATGAGGAAACTCTGGCTAGTCAACCAGGTAGTAAATGGCAGCTCTGGGATCTGTACCCACGTAGACTCCAGATTTCACACTGTGCTATATTACTCAGCACAGTGATAGATTAATTTCCAGTACACTTGTAAGATCAAGAACAAAATAATCATTCTCCCATGGATGTTTCATTGGCCATCCCCATCACTCTTCCCTTTACCTGCCCCTGTATCTCTCTGAAGCCAAACTCTTATGTGTCACTGATAAAGATGTATCTATCCATCATGTTTCCTTTACTAGGCATTCTGATTCATCTCGAGAGTCTTTAAGTTATATAGTAAAATGCCTTACACACGGCAATCCCTCTGTAAATGTTGGTTATATGAATTCATCATTGGCAGAATGAAGAGATAATTCAGACTGTATCAGAAATGACCTCTGCAAAATGATTTTAAAAAATCTATTTATCAAGCCTATAATTTGATAAACAATGATCACAACTTGCTATTGATTCTTTCACAATTTTGCTTTTTTAATTTGAGTTCATAAAAGTTACCAACTGGGCATTCTAGTTTCAAATCCATTCATTCAATCACAGTTTTTTTTTTTTTTTAATTTTCTACTGAGTCAAATTGTTCTAGGATTGTAGGTGAATTTTGGCTACTCTAAAGAACCAGTTAAACATGGAAATAGTTCTTTATGATAATGACTATATATATAACTGTTTTATTTGCTTTTCTCTAATTTGATTCAAATTTTCATTTTCTGTATATACACATATATCAACTCATCTAGATAATAGTAAGTAGTTTGGGAAGAGGGATACAAACAATTTAATTATTTTTCTTATATGATGTCAAGTAAATGTCACTTTTTAAATTCTTAAATAAAAACAAGATACTTCAATACTATTTAGAGACAACTTAAGTTTGTTCACCCAATCTCTGACATGTCAGAGGGGAAGTGTTTTGAAAGTATTTGAGGCTTCTCCCTCATAAGAAATAAGTCCATTCCCTTGAACTGGTGAACAACCTCCCATGATCTGGCCCCAAAAGATCACATTTTCTTCCTCCTGCTTTCAATGTTGACATTACATTTCATTTTGATAATTGTCTGATAGAAGTTTTAGAGTATGACTATTTCTGTTAATTATAAAATGACAACTCTCAAAATAGTTACTATTACATATAAGACATAATGTCATATTTAAGATTTGCCTTTAGACTTTCAAACTTAAAATATTCATTGATAAATTTGCATAATAAAGAAAAAGGTAATTATTAAGAGGTTGGTAGTAAGTTATTATTGAATTTAAAACAAGGATTCTTGGAAGAATTCACCATTTGAATTGAACACCATTTTTCTTTTAACTTTGAAAAATTACAATACTAAAATAAATTTTCTAAAGCAGAATGCTTTAAGAATGATAGAATTTTAAGTATGCTAGAATTTCCCTCAAAAAACGAATTACTTTAGAAAAACTTATTTGAACTCAGACACGATCATCTTTTTCTCAGTAACTTAAAGCACAAGTAACTAAGCCATGATTGCTAATTATGTCCATTGATTATCAGGGATAGAATAACATCCCATAAATTACCTAAAGTAAGATGAAGAGATAGAGACCTCCAAAGAATAGAGTGGCTTTATACATTAAAGAAGAAGAAAAGCTGTTTTTCAAAATTAGGCCTCTACTAGGAATAGTGCTAAGTTACTTCACTGATTTTTGGTGGAAGGGATGGGTCTCCCAGGCTTTCCTGAAGACTCACCCAAAGTAAACAAGAAGCTCTTTGGGTTAGCCATCTGACCTAGAAAAGATGATGGCATTTTCTCCGAGCCTTAGGCACTCTTTGAGCTAAGTTATTCTCCACTTAGAATGTTGTTAAATACCATACCATTTGTTGTTCAACTTATTGCCTAGAACTTGCAAGAGAGCTTTTAGAAAGGGAGTACAGAAGGCTAGCTTGGGAAAATCCAGAGCAGTGTTTGTGGGTTTTTTTTTTTTTGGGGGGGGGGGTGGTGGTGGTGGTGGTGGTGGTGGTGGAATAAAATGCTCCTTTTACTCACACCACATCTCTCTTTTTGTCCTACTCATGTTGCCTTTAGTGTACTCAGACATGAATGCACAGAGTCCACTCTTGCTTGTTCCTGGCACACAACAACGACGTAAACCCTTTCATTCTCATTTCCCTTGTAAAAGAAACAGCCTGCCCCTGACAGGTGTGATCCCCGAATCAGCACCACGGGGCAGTCCTCTGCAGATTCAGCTGGTGACAAGGGTCCCCTCCCCAAACTTTAAACAAAGGCATTTAATTTGGACTTGAGCCAAGGTAAGGAAGAAAAAAAAAAAAAGCAAAGGAAAAAGAAAACAATTGCTGGGCTAAATAAAAACACAATGTAACGAGGCATAGCCCGTCAACATGAACCTTCATGCAAGCCCGGGAGCCTTATGGTTTTCTTCCCCCGGGGTGGGGTGGGGGAGGTGACTACCGCACGCACACTGACCATCACCCTAAGGAGGTAAAGAGAGTGAAATGGCTCAACGTACACACACCCCGCTCCATACCGGGGACGAGTCTCCGAGCTGCGGCTTGTGCTGCCGGAGGGCCAGGCTGAAGCTGACCGCCCCCACGGCCACGCTGGACACCCCCAGCCCTATCTCCAGCACGGACAGCACCAGGAGGCTCCCGATGATCTGGCCGCTGGTGCACATCCTTCCTCGGTCATCGTTCCTTCCAGATCAGCGTGGGAAACTGACCATCCGCCTTCTTCCTTCCTCTCTCCTCCTCCTCCCTCCTTTCCTCCCCCTCCCAGACCCCAAAACTTTTCCTTCTTCACCAGCCGAGCACTATCCACAGGGACTGCGTTCCCAGCACCGGAGACCCGCTTCCTTGACCGGGGCCACAGGCAAGAGAACCGCTCCTCTCCGGAGCCCCCTTCAGACAGGGATGGTGGAAGCAAGGATCCGTGGTCTGAGTCCAAGAGGGGAGAGGAAACAGGTCGCAAGGGTTTCCAAAAAGGAGCCGGAAACCTGGGGCAGCAGGGAGCTCCCAGTGCCGCTGGCTGGCTGGCTGGCGAGGCGCTGTCCAGAGTTCTGCCGCGTCCTGGTCTCCGCAGGGAAACCCGCTCCCTCCTGAGCCTCCTCCCAGACGCCAGGGCCCCCCTTCCCTTTCTTGCCAAGGAGATGAGCTTTGCTTCCCGGAGATGCAGAGCCAAACTGCTCAGAGCCTCTCTCTCTCTCCCTTGCACGCCCGCCCCTCTCCTCGCCTTTGTTTTCGCGGCAACACCAAGCGCTCTTGCCAGACCCCCTTCCACAAGGCAGAGTGGGCTGAGGAGATGCAGCACCGCGTGCCTGGCAGTTGCTGTGTGGCCAGAAAAAGCAACCTTGTCCGATGGCCTTTTCCAGTCTGGGTTTCTTCGCCTCCCCGCCCCCCCCTCCTCCTCCTCCCGCCCTCTTCCTTCCCCCTCTCTCTGGATCTGCTTCTCTTTCATCACGTGGTGACCTCACTGGGATGGAAGGGGTTGATGCAGGAGGGAAATGCTTGGTCTGTTCCTGGGTCTAGAACTGATGCTCTTGGCTGGCCTTTCATTGGTCTCTCTTTGGGACCCCAAATTCAGAGACAGGAGGAATCCCCACCTCTGCATCTCCCCCAACTTGCTCCCTTCTGGGCTTCTATCCAGATGGGAGGGGAAGGGATGCATATGTCAATGGGGCTCCTTCAGTGTAAAACACTTCTATGTGTATGTGTATGCCAGGATAGAGTGGGGGTGCAGTGGCTAAAGAGAGAACTCAGGGGCTGGAGAAAGGCCAGACCCCTAAATTCAGCAGGACTGAAGGACCCTCGCCATGGAACTCCTCTCTCTGGAAGAGCTAGACTCAAGGAGCATTCACGCCCCTTTCACCTTTCTTGTCTGGGGGTGAGGGACATGCAACTGGCCAGGGCCACACTCCGGTGGGGATGTGGCCAGCAGACCCTTGCTGTCCCTGTCCCCTGTGAGCACTGCTACAACTTCTAGGGTGTGTTCCCTGATGGAGCAGGGCTGGGACCCTGTGTGCTCACTGGAATTTGGGAGATGTGTGCATTTAAGTACTAACTATAGTGGAAAGGATGCTGTTAAAAACAGGTATCTAGCTGAATGCACAGTCTACAAAAAATCCTTGGGGATTTTTGTGAGGTAGTCTGATGAAAAGGGGACTCTAGAAGCCTGAACATCAACTGGGTCAGGACTCTGTTTCCATGTCTCTGATTTTACCCCATGAAAATCACATGATATTTCATCAAAGAGACCCAGGACATGAAGGAATGAGAAGGTGTTTTGGGGTGTGAATCATCTTTCTCAAAAAGTGGGTAGTGCCCCAGTTGGAAATGGATTGAAGGAAAATAGAGGAAAGGAGGATTGATTTAGACACATTAGCAAGACCAGGGTAATGTGACCTCTGAATACATGCAGACCAGTGCAGTGCAGGCACCTTTCTCTTTAGAAGTTTCTTTTTTTAAAGCCCCATTGAGGAGAACACTGAAGCTGAGTTATATACAATCTATCGCATAAGCAGAAGCTTCTGTTTTCTTCAATTTGAATGAATTGGGGCTTCTTTCATATTTTAATTCAAATTTACACTATAATTTACTTTTCTTAATGTGATGTTTATTCTTTGCATTTTAAAAAATGAGTTTTCTTCCCTTACAAACAAAATAGAAAAGATGAAAGAATTATGTTACTAGGTCTTAAATAGTCTTCAGTTATTGTGGTATTTGGAGAACAACTAATACATTAATGTTCACTAATTAGTGGATTCACTTTTTACTTCTTAACAGCGAAATCCACCAAGCAGTTAATTGCTAGAATCCTTTAAGTACTTTGTGACGTCAATGAAGCACATATTATTTTATTTAAATCTTGTAGAAGTCATCTAAATGATTCAATTTATATGTGAAAATCATGAAGCATCTCACTACCTAACTTTGCTTTATTTTAAATCATTGCTGTTCTACTTAAAAAAAATAATATATATATATATATACACACATATACATATGTTTATTGGTTTCAAAGAGGAAGGGAGAAGTAGAGAGATATAGAAACATCAATATTGAAAGAATCATTGATCCTACTGGGGACCCAGCCCACAACCTAGGCATGTGCCTTTGACCAATCAAACCTGGAACCCTTCAGCCCGCAAGCCGGTGCTCTGTTCATTGAGCCAAACCAGCTAGGGCTTTTTCTTCTTCCCCCTCCCCCAGTACCCCCATTAGGAAGAGAATAACAAGCTATACTTATTGTTAAAATAGAACACAGACATATAAAAGAAAGAAATATAACATATAAAGGGAAATGAATTTTTTAGAGAACATATAATGTTAACAATTGATGAATTTCACAGAGAGAAAGAAATGAGCAAATTATGTATTGTGGTTGAATTTTTCTCTCTGAATGTAATAGAATATATTTACTTAAATACTCCAAAGTCTAGTCATATGCCTCAATATAATCAATCTTGATTGACCCTTTTTATTGGTACAGAATGTAAACCTCTTGAAAATTGAATGTACATGAAAGAAATTAAATTCATCTTCATGTATTACTTACTACCAATAAATGACACTAAAATGGAAATACTCGTAGGAATAAAATAAAATAAAAATATCACCCATAGAAGAAATTACTGCTTTGTGTTTAAAAACATGAGGATCAATGTTGTTAAAACTTTCAAAAGAATATGACATTGTTCTGGGAGACAAAGTATATCTCTTAAACAATGTAAAGATTTTCCCTCCCATAGTAAATGCAAGAGCAGCTAAACTTATCTCTTAATGAATAAAATCACAGCAAAAATAGATTCAAATTGGCATTATACATGTGTCAAAACTATCTGTTGGAGAAAGAATTATAGGATAAAATAGTAACTCAAGAAAAAACTAAACAAGTACATTTTTATCCAAAAACCAGTGGCTCTACAATTAGATGTTTTAATTTTTCTTATGCTATGGTACACTGAAAGAGCTAATCATGAGATTCATTGACACATTGTTTATTACATCTTCCACAAGAGCAATAATACAAAAAATCTCAAGTTTGCCACCTGCTGGCTTATTTATGACACAATGAATACAAATGTGTAGACAACCTCAAAGTAATTTTTATTAAACATAGCAGTTAATCAAAATAAAATCCTTCATAATTGCTCTCTTCAAGGACCTAAATTCTGCCAATAAGTATTTAAGAATTCTGGGATCCTTCTGTACCCATTTTATCCAAATAAGATTTATAGACATTTTAACATATGAGTAAAGAAAAATCTAAGATTTGATAAACAAATACCACCTATCATAGTGAAGTAAATTAATGAAATAATTCAATCACTAATATAGGATTAGTAACTGAAAATGTCAACATTTGAAACTGATTCATTTGAAATCTGAATTAGTGTTCAAGCTATTATAAACTAAATTTGTACAGTGACCATAAGCACTGGACTGAATGGCCAAAGTAAAATTGAAGATTAAGGAAAATAAAAATTACAAAATTGTTACAAACCATTTAGCTGTTTTAGGTGCTACAAATATATTTAATATTATAATACTATTGTCACTGTGGTTAAAAATGATTGTACCCAAATGCTTAGCTATGCTTTGATAAAGTGATTCAACCAAAAAGGGGGGAAAAAATATTGAGGATTTTTTTTTTACTTGAAGATCAAGAAGTAGAGACAACAAAATCTGAATTTAGCTTTTTTGTCTTATAGAAATAACGTAGTTTAGAAGTTATTATCCTATATAATAAAGAGGTAATATGCAAATTGAACATCATGCCCTTGCACAAGATGGCTGCCCCCATGTGATCACAAGATGGCTACCACAAGATGGCCAGCAGGGGAGGGCAGTTGTGGGTAATCAGGCCAGCAGGGGAAGGCAACCAGGCTAGCAGGGGAGGACAACTGGGGGAGACCGAACCAGGCCTGCAGTGGAGAGAGGGCAGTTGGGGGGGACCAGGCTGGTAGGGAAGAGCAGTTAGGGGTGACCAGGTTGGCAGGGGAGGGCAGTTAGGGGTGACTGGGCCAGCAGGGGAGGGAAGTTGGGGGTGACCAGGCCTGCAGGGGAGGGAAGTTGGGAGGATCAGGCCTGCAAGGGAGGGCAGTTAGGGGAAATCGGGCTGGCAGGGAAGCAGTTAGGTGTTGATCAGGCTGGCAGGGGAGTGGTTAGGGGGTGATCAGGCTGGCAGGCAGAAGTGGTTAGGGACAATCAGACAGGCAGGCAGGCAAGCAGTTGTAAACCAGCAGTCCTGGACTGTGAGAGGGATATCCAATTGCTGGTTAAACCGGCAGTTGGACATCTCCTGAGGGGTCCCAGATTGGAGAGGGTGCAGGCTGGATTGAGGGACAACAGTCTCCTGTGCATGAATTTTGTGCATTGGGCCTTTAGGCTAATAAGAATATCAGTACTTATGAAAATAAGACAAAGTATAACACTAAACAGAGTTAAGAGTTCTTGTTGAATACTCAGCCTTAGGTAGAGAACACAGGTAGGGCACACACAAGTAGTGGGGCTAACCCATATCTGAAGTAAAGACAACTCTGCATCTTACCTTCAAATACTATAAAACAGATCCCTTAAGTATCAATTTTTCATTAAGTAACTTGTAAAGTCTAACAACTACATATTGAATACAAAATAAAGACTTTAAATAAAAATGCAGATAGAATAAAAACAAATG